ATACAAACGTCTTTGTACCGATCCGCGAGACTCTACTAAACCTTCTCATGACTCGTGAGACCTATGTAACATAGGCTCTGATACCAACTTGTCACGACCCTAAATCCAGACCCGGTCGTGATGGCGCCTCTCGTGAAGACAAGGCCAGCCGACACAACTCCCAATTCATTTTAAACAATTATAATAACACAATTTAAGTCATTAACATGCTAAAAAACCAAAATGGAAGTGAAATAGTACAATTTACGAAAAAACCAATACAGCCCGACATCGGAGTGTCACCAGTTATGAGCATCTAACATAAGTCTCGAAATGTGGAAAAGGGACTACACAGTCTATTATTAAAATCCAGTACAAGGGAAAGAAATAATGACAAGAGGGAGAAACACTGGGCTGCGAATGCCGAGCAGCTACCTAGTGGACTCCGGAAATCTGCTGGAAGCTATCAACCCTCACTAGCAGGACCTGAAGCGCCTGAATCTGCACACAGGGTGCAGGGAGTAAAGTTAGTACTCCAACTCAGTGAGTAATAACAATAAATAAAGACTAATCGATAAGAAATCACGAAAAATCACAACAGGATGCCATAAAGAGGCAAAATAAAACCAATAAAGTGCAACAAAACAGTGAAATCTCATGAAACACCTTAGTTCAGAATAAGCTTCTTTAAAATACCTTTTTAACAGCTAAACAAGTAAAAGAAAGGCAGCAAGAAGAGATAAACACATAAAAATCCGCCCCTCGGCCACAATGTCAACAGAATTAGCCCCTCGGGCAATTACATGGAACAATACCAGCCCCTCGGGCTATATCTCATATCACAATGGGTACCCGCGCTCACTGCGGGTGTACAAACTCCGGTAGGGGCCCCTTACGGCCCAAGCGCAATATCAAGCCATCTCGTGGCATAATCAATAGACTGTCGGCCTCATATCAAGCCACCTCGTGGCGTAAAACTTAGGCCCTCGGCCTCATAATCATAATCAGTACAATACTGCTGCGGCGTGCAGCCCAATCCCATAAAAATCCTCACAACACAGGCCCTCGGCCCTACTCAGTCAGAAATCTCTAAAAGCCACTCGGGCACAGTAAAATATGATGCTCAGCCCAAATATCATTTAAAGTGTTAAAACAGAATAAACATGCTGAGTTATGAAACGATACAATATAGCATGACTGAGTACAGATATAAAATAAGACATTGAGGAAATAACAGTAAAAATCCCCTAAGGGTCCAAACAGTTGGCATAAGGCCCAAACACAGCATTTAGCCCCAAACATAATAATACTTTCAAAGAATATATTAATATCAAATAGTTTCCAACTAAATACGCGACTTAATAGTCGTACAGGACGGACTAGGTCACAATCCCCAATGGTGCTACACTCCACGCTCGTCACCTAGCCTGTGCATCACCTCAAAATAGCACAACGATGTGAAATCCGGGGTTTCATACCCTCAAGACAACATTTAAAATCATTACTCACCTCAATCCGGCCCATACTCTAGCTCGCGATGCCTTTGCCCCTCGAATCGGCCTCCGGATGTTCCAAATCTAGGCAAAATCAGAACATAACCATCAAAATATGCTAAGGGGACAAAGCCCACTCGAAAACAATCGAAAAACAACACGAATCCCGAAATTAGCCAAACCCGACCCCCGAGCCCACGTCTCGGAATTCGATAAGTTTTACATTATTAGACTCCTTATCTCCCCACGAGTTCATACATATCAAAAGTTCTAAAATCCGACCACAAATGGCCCTTCAAATCCTTAATCAAAGACCTAAGTTCCCAAGCCCTAGTTTCTTCCATCTTTACCCAATCTTTTCCACGAATTTCAACTCTAATCCGTGAAATAATACCATAAGGACGAGTTTTTGTGATCCAAAACCTTACCTCAATGAAGTCTCCTTGAATTCCTTCTTCAAAATTGCCCAAAAAGCTCCAGAAATCGTGTTTAAAAATGGTGAAAACCTTTGAAAATCGCGAAGGAAAAATTATATACATTCTGATCCAGGGATTCCGCACCTGCGGTCCTTAACTCGCTCCTGCGCAACCGCTTATGCGGTCCCAAGCGCCGCATTTGCGGTCATCACTTAAACGTTCCCTTTCCGCATCTGCGATGCACAACCCGCACCTGCGCCATCGCAGGTGCGGTTCCTTAACCGCTCCTGCGGTTCTTGCCTCCCTTGGCTCCTTCCGCTTCTGCGACTGATCTTCCGCATCTGCGGTGGTCGCATATGCGGTGGTCGCATCTGCGATCCTTCAACCCCAGATGCGGTTATGACAGCAGTCCTAAAACTTCAGCTGCTATTTCCAATTTTCTATCTTTCCGTCAACCATCCGAAATCACCCCGAGGCCCCCGGGACCTCAACCAAAAGCACAAACAAGTCATATACTACCATCCAAACCTATACCAATCTTCAAAACACCTCAAACAATATCAAATCAACCAAAACGCATTGGATTCAAGCCTAAGATTCTCAAAATCTTCCGAATTACGCTCTTGATGAAAAAGTCTATCAAACCACGTCCGAATGACCTGAAATTTTTGCACACACATCCCAAATGACAAAACGGACCTACTGCAACTCTCAGAATTCCATTCCGACCCCTATATCAAAATCTCACCTATCAACCGGAAAACGCCAAAATTCCACTTTCGCCAATTCAAGCCTAAATCTACTACGGACATCCAAAACACATTCCGATCACGCTCCTAAGTCCCAAATCATCTCCCGAAGCTATCCAAATCATTGGAATTCACATCCAATCCCTATAACACATAAGTCAACATCCGGTTGACTTTTCCAACTTAAGCTTTCTTAAAAGAGACTAAGTGTCTCAATATTACCAAATCCTCTTCGAACCCGAGTCAACCAACCCGATAACACAAAATACAGCTGAACAAGGCAATAAGAAGCAGAAATGGGGGAAACGAAGCGGTAACTCATGAAACGATCGGCCGGGTCGTTACAAAAAATCTCAGGAATTTTTTCATTCCTATACACTATTTGAAACTTTATTACCCTTAATGTCCATGCTTAGCTAATTACCTGGCATAAACAAGTTTGGTTTGCAAAATATATACAATCCACCTTAAAAGTCTCCCAAATCAATTATTTGTGCCTTCAATAAAGGGATTTTGTTACACCCTTTTCCTTTTTTCTCTCCTCTCTCCCCTCTTCTCTCCATATTCTCTCTTTCTCCCCTCGTCCGTCCAAATACTTACAAATTTATGTAAAGCGATCAGCTTTTCCTGACCAAAAATTGTTCGTGCATCAAAGGGATCAGTTTTCCATGATCCTTTTTTGCTACCAATTGTAAACACCTAGAGAAGTCCGAATGTGAATGCCGAGGTACAAGCCACTTGTCACCCAAAATAATTAAATTGATTAATCAACAAATTGCCAAAGCATCAATCTAAATCTGTTCGCTCAAGTCAGATCCATTTCACTATAATACTCAATAATATCAATTTTAAGTTAATTAAAAGCATTTCAAAATCGATGATTGATAGGTACATTAGATCGAAGAATATAAAGAGAGAGAAAAATTGATTACTAGAGCAAGGGTGCTGTTCCTTGAAAAGATATGAATTTTAAGTTCATTTTTATTTAAAACTTGAAAAGATATATTATTTTTAGTTAGTGTAACTATAAGAACTAATAAA